GTCCACGGGAGGCCGCACCCCAATAACTCAGTCCTCAGACCAGGAGATGCAACAAGCAAGAGGATTTAATAGTTTGCACAGACGGGCCCCTGCCTCACTCAGAGAGAGAGAGAGAGCAGCAGCAGCCCCGAGCTCAGCTTACAGGTGACTTTTAAAGGCAAAAACCACAAACTACAACCGGCAGCAGTGGGAGGGGGGCCAGCAGCAACCGGCAGCAGTGGGAGGGAGGAAGTTTTGGGTGATGTCCGGCTTGTGTATGGAACATGAAAAGGTCAGCTCTTTCTCAGCAGTTAGAATTATTTTACTTCTTCCTTGTTCTGAATATTTTTCTTTGGTCTGGGGGACTTGGTTTGAATTCACTTTAACCTAGGGGGCTTTAGTTTGAGTCCATCACAGGTGCCTGAAGAGGCCAGGGACATTGGATTCCCTAGAACTGGAGGTACACGTAGTTGTGAGCTGCCCAACATGGGACTGAGAACCAAACTTGTGTCTTCTGGCAGAGCAGGATGTGCTCTTAAGCACTGAGGCCTCTCTCCAGCCCTTGACCTCTTCTAAAGTTTTATTTTAGGAGTCAGTCACATAATGGTAGAAGTCAATACAATGGGTGTAGAAACTTAGCATTGGGGCTGGAGAGATGGCTCAGCAGTTAAGAACACTGGTTGTTCTTGCAGAAGACCCACATTTGAATCCCAGTACCTACATAGCAGCTAACAACTGTCCATAACTCCAGCTCCAGGGGATCTGGCAGCCTCTTCTGTCCTCTTCAGGCATTGCATGACACAGGTACCCTTACCTACACGCAGGCAATACACGCATACACATAAAATAATAAATAAAATATTTTTTTAAAAAAAGAAACAGCATCATTAAGGCAACTGGTATAAATCCTGAAAGGAAGTATATAAGGGCTGGAGAGATGGCCAGTAGTTAAGAGCACTGACTGCTCTTGCAGAGGACCTGGGTTTAATTCCCAGCACCCACATCATGGCTAACAACTATCCATAACTCCAGTTCCAGGGAATCTGACACCTTCTGACTTTCATGGGTACTGCACAACATGAGTGCACTTACGCGCATGCAGGCAATACACACAAAATAAAAATAATAAATATAATTTTTTTTGTCTTTTTGAGACAGGGTCTCCCTGTAGCCCCAGCTGTTCTGGAACTTACTATGTAGACCAACCAGGCTGGCCTCGAACTCACAAAGATCCACCTGCCTCTGCCTCCTAAGTGCTGGGATCAAAGGTATGTATTACCATGCCTGGCATAAATATAATTTTTTTAAAAAAAATGAAGTATAGAGAGTAGCTTAGACTCTAGTCTCCATCTGGCTTAGATGCTGAGAACTCAGCAGACCCCCTGAGAGTGCCTGGACCTGGCCTCCACGTGGTGATGGAATCCCACTGAAACTGGCCAACACCCCATGGAAAACAGATGATGCAGAGACCTGAAGGTTCAGTGCCTTGCCACAACAGGAGGAAGATCATTCTACATCTACTACCCCCTCCAAGGTTCAGGGACTTTTGCAGAAGAGATTGGCAGAAAGAATGTAAGAAACAGAGGAAGGGGTGGAGTGTTCTGGAAGTGTCCCCTCCCACCACTATGCCGGCAAGCTATAGTCACGGCCTCCTTCCCATTCTCATCAAGGAGTAGAGGGGAGAGTCATTTACGCCTCCCAAGCAGTCAGTCCACCTTAGCTGCATATGCGGGGAGGGGCAAAGGATATATAAACCAAGAACACCAAAAGGCACCTCTTTCACCATTTTGTGTGGCTGTCGGGAAGTCACAGGATCTGTATTTGAGTGTGGACTTTACGGCACAGTCATAAGTGTGGGGCACCCACTCTTCTGTAAATAAATCCCTACCCTATGCTCTGTTAAAAAAGATTAATAATTTTTTTTTAAAAAAGGAAGTATAGCCCAGAGTGGTGACACACACCTTTAATCCCAGCACTTGGGAGGCAGAGGCAGGCAGATCTCTGTGAGTTTGAGGCCAGCCTGGTCTACATAGTGAGTTCCAGGTCAGCTGGGGCTACAGGGAGACCCTGTCTCAAAAAAAAACCAAAAAAAAAAAAAAAAAAAGGAATGAGGATGTAGCTCTGTTGGTAGCATGCTTGTTTAATGTGTACAAATACCTGGGCTTGATCTCCAGGACTGCATAAACCAATGTAATCCCGACACTTGGGAAGTGGAGACAGGAGGATCAGCAGTTCAAGGATATCTTCAGCTACATATCCAGATTGAAGTTAACCTGAGTTCAATCCCTAGAACTCACAAAAAAGCTGTCTATGGTGGTGCACACCTATAATCCCAACACTCTTATAGTGGGAGGCAGAGAGGTGAATCACCCCGAAACTCACAGGGCAGCTAGCCTACAGCATAGAGTATAGCTGAAACAGCAAGAGAAGCCCTGTCTCAATAATGAGGTGGAAGGAGAGAACCAGTTCCCAAAAGTTGTCCTCATGGCAGGTGTGCCCCTGAACTTACACAGAATAATAATATATATTCATTTTAAAATTTGCAGGTAAGGGGGCTGGAGAAATGGCTTAGTGGTTAAGAACACTAGTTGTTCTTGCAGAAGACCCAGGTTTGAATCCCAGCACCCACATGGCAGCTAACAACTGTCCATAACTCCCGTTCCAGGGGATCCAATGGCCTCTTCTGTCCTCCATGGGCATTGCATGACATGAGTGCACTTACCTACATGCAGGCATAACACTCATACACATAAAACAAAAATAACAAGAGATAAAGTGCTTGCCTAGCATGTGTGAGGCCCTGGGTTCCATCCCAGTACCACACACAGTATATGCACATACTCACAGAGGATGCCTCATAAAAGAACAATCATTATTTCAAGAGAACTGAAGCCAAATGGTGATTGTAAGGGTGAGAGGTTGCATCTAGAGAAGAAAGGAAAAACATTTTTTCCATTTGTTTTTCTGAGCTGTTCATTAACAGGAAAAATAAATCCAGCCTTCTGTACTTTGGGTGATATTTATTTATTTATTTATTTTTGAGACAGGATCTCCCTGTAGCCACAGCTGGCCTGGATTCATTATGGAGACCAGGCCGGCCTCAAACTCACAGAGATCACCCTGCTTCTGCCTCCTGAGTACTGGAATTAAACTACACCCAGCTATTTATTATTTTTATTTTATGTGTACAAGTGTATTGCCTGCATGTATGTGAGTGCACACGTGTCATGCAATGCCACGGAGGTCAGAAGAGGGCTTCAGATTTCCCTGGAACTGGAGTTAAGGACGGTTCGTAGCTGCCATGTGGGTGCTGGGAATTGAATCCCGGTCCTCTGTAAGAGCAGTCAGTGCTCTTAACCACTGAGCCATGTCTTCAGCCCCTATTTATTTTTATTTTATGTGTTTCAGAGTTTTATCTGAATGAATGCAGGTGCACTACATGTATAAAATGCCCAAGGAGGCCAGAAGAGGGCATCAGATCCCTTGGGACTGGAGTTACAGATGGTTGTTAGTTGCCATGTGGATGCCAGGAACATAATCCAAGTCCTCTGCAAGAGTAGCCAGTGATCTTAGCCAACTCTCCAGCCAACCCCCGCCACCCCCCACACACACTTTTTTTGAGACAAGGTCTTCCTATAGCCCCAGGTGGCCTAGAACTTGCTATGTAGGCTAGGCTGGCCTTGATCTCATAGAGATCCATCTGCCTCTGCACAACCCCACCCCCATCCCACAGTGCATAAGCCACCATGCCAGGCTAGAGTTTTTTTCCTTTAACAAAGGACTAAATGAAAACAACCTCCCTTTAGAATGCAAGTTTGTTCAAGAATAAAGCCTGGGCACCTGTGTGAGTTTAGGTCCGCAGGTGTCTTGTGTCAGGAAGAAGCTTAATCAGGGAAGGGTCACATGACAATAAACATGGCTTCCTAAGCACTTGGCTCCAGAATGAGAATAGACATCATAGGCCAGGTTTGCATAGATTTACCTTTAGCAAGCACACAGACAGGGCTGATAGTAGCTTTAATCAGACACACCCAGACACTGGAACATTGTGCCCACAAGGTCATAGGTAGCTATTTGCAAACTTCATCTACCATCTACTGGCTGAGTTTGCCCTTGGTGGTGCCTCACTCTAGGCAGGAATGCTGGCCAGCCAGGGCTCATGCTGTGCAGGAAGAGAGCTGTGACCACGATTGCTCAGGCCTGGAGAGGACAGTGTAGTTCCAGGAACTTGGGATGCAAAGGTACTTCAGGTGGATGAGTTGAGTTGTACTCCAGAGCTGTCCACAGAACACAGATGGGAGCCCCTGCACCCCTCAGGGCTCAAGTGCTCCTTCCTTCCTCTTCCCAAGGCATGGCGGCAGCCTCGACCTTTGCTTGTCTGAGGTTTATGTTATTGTGGGCCCCAGCAGCTGCAGAAAGGGAGGCTGATACATAGCCCTTAGTGCCACTGGCTGGCAGAGAGAAGCCAAGAGACTGGAAATCATAGCACTAGACAAAAGCCTATTGATCTTTGACCCCTGCCCTTCCCAGGGAGCCTTGGCCCTCTTCCCACCTCCTTTCTTCCCTGCAGGCCTCACCCTCCGTTCACTGTCCCCTCATTTCCTCTGTGCTCTTGCTTGGACTGGCAGTTTTCCCCAGCTGCTGCCTAGACCTATCTATCCATGCTGCCTTCAAATGCTGCTTCTTGCACATCTCCCACACCCAACACAGACAACCCAGACAAGAAGGTCCAGTGGGCTTCTGAGAAGAGACGGAGGATTTCATCCACAGACTCAGAGTCAAAGACCCACGTGGACCCTTCGAAGTTGCCCAGGTCCCGGAGACCCAGCCGGCTGACAGTGAAGTATGACAGGAGTGAACTTCAGCGCTGGTTGGAGATGGAGCAGTGGGTGGATGCTCAGATTCAGGAGCTCTTCCAGGTGGGTAGCCCAGGAGAGGTTGCTGGATAGTGGTCCTGGGGCCTGGCCATGGAACAGATAGCCTGCTTAGAGACCTCCAGAAGAGCTGGAGGGCTAACGTGAGACGCTCCTTGAAGCATGCTCCTGCAGATGGAAGGAAAGTCATGACTGTGCCTTTAACCTCTGTGATTTGGGGAGGGCCTTTTAACACTGCTGAGACTCAGTTCTAATCTATACAATGGGATTATCCATGCCTGCTAAGTCTTTTTGCAAAGCTTTTTGACACTCAGAATAATTGAAGGGAAAATACTTGGCCAGACTATTTTACTATGTTTTATGTCTAAATTTACTGTTCAATGTGCATCCATGCCTAGAGCCACATTGTCTAGTCTTGTTGCTATCAGTACTGTGACTTTGAATAAATTAAAGCAAATATAATTTAAAAATTAGGTCCCAAGTTATATAGCTACATTGAAGTGTTAACTGGCCCCATATACCATGTTGCTAGTAGAGCTGTGAACCATCTCTATGGGGTGTGCAGGGATCCCTTTTAGAATGAACAACGCAGATCTAGAGAGTGAGCAGAACCAGGGGCAAGTACCAAAGTCCTGACCCCACTCAGCTTTGACCATGGTTCTGACTGCCTTTCTCCAACTCACCCTGAGAAAAGGATGAGTCTTGCAGTTGAAGGAGAACCTTCTTAGTCTCAAATCTGGATCCTAGAGCAGTAGGAACTGTTGCTTCAATAACGTTTTGAGCTCTTCTCAATATCTTAGCCACAATGCTAAGCCTCGACATGCATATTTAACCCTCCCCACAACATCATTAGGTAGGTGCTGTTTTATAGCTGAGAGAATGGAGGCTTAGAGCTGGTGAATATAGCTCAGTTGGTAGAATGCTTGTCTAGCATGAATGAAGCCCTGGGTTTGACTCCCAGCACTGTATGAATGGTTCATGGTGGCATGTTCCCGAAATCCCAGCACTGGGAAGGTCAAGGCAGGAGAGTCAGAAGTTTGTCATCCTCAGCTACTTAGTGAGTTTAGGGCTAGCCTGGGACACATGAGTAACTTGACGGTCACACAGCTAGGAAGTCATAGGACTAAGAACCGTAGTTCAAACCCTACCTATTTGAGCAGCCAGTGAGTCTGCACACCTGGAATGCTTAAGAAAAAAACTTCCTCTCTCCTGCTCCAGTTCCTCCTCAACTGAATTTCAATCCACTAAGGTGGGCCCAGGCACTGGGCAGTTATTATAAGCTCCACAGTTGGTTCTAACATGCGGCTGAGCAGAGAGCCAGTAGACTAACCCAGAGGACCAGGAGTCCTGCTCCTTCATAAGATGTGCTCATCTTCCTTTCTCCCTTCCTCCCGCCTCCCCTTCTTTCCTCCCTTCCCTCCCTTGCTTCTTTGCTTCTTTCCTTCCTCAGGCCTTATGCTTCTTTGTGGGGTAGCAAGGTTCTGTGATTCTTATAGGTGAAGATAAGTAGAGAAGAATGATGGACAGGGCCTGGTCAGTTTTGCAGCTCACGGATCATGTGTCTGTTTAGTCTAGGTGTTTCCCTTGTCCCCCAAAGCATCCTGAACTCACTTGTAGAAGGGTGAGAGATACCCCAGAGTTGGGAGCCAGAAGTAAACTTTCTTGGTTCCTATCTGTTCTAATCTTGCAGGGCACCTCCACCCACCTCCATTTTATATACTTCCAGCAGCCCCCCTCTCCATACTGGCTCAGTTTCAATTTCAAAGCATTTATTTTGCATTTGCATAAAAAGTCTCATATTTCAGACACCTCAGGGCAAGTCCTGCCAGGCAAAAGAGAAAGACAGTAGCTAATGAACCATGTTTTACAAGAAGATGAAGGAGGGGAAACTGTCATGAACCTGTAACACTGGAAAACAAAGCTCCCAGGCAATGACTGGAATAAAGTACCTGGCCTGTGGTTGCCAGGGCAACTGTTCAAAGGTGCCAGGTGGCAGATCTTCTCCCAATCCCTGATCTTTTCAGCAGGAAGAAGCTAAGTGCCTGGGGAAGCCCCAGATAGCTGGACATCTTGGGCAGAGGTCAAGGTAACTCTAGCCTTACCCTGCTCCAATTCTGTCTTCACACCACCCTCCAGGGCTCTATCCTGCATGCTCACCTTGGATGGCACCACTGGGAGTGGTCATAAGAATGTGTCACTTGTTTAATGCCATTCAACCTTCCCTCTTTGGAGGGCCTGACTTCTCCCTGGGTATGTAGCCTGGCTTGGGGGTCTTTGAGGAATCAAGTCTGGAGATACAATGTTTGGGGAACCTGGAGCTTCTGTTTTCAGGAGATAGCCTGAGGATTTGGTTTCTGGACAGGGACTTAAATGCCAGTGCATTTAAAGAGACCCGTACTTAACATCTCTGCCTCTTCAGTGCTGGAATTAAAGATGTGTACCACCAAAATCAACTTTATTGAATATAAACTGACATAGAATAAAATGTGCCCTTTGCAGTGTAAATCATATATCTTGCCCTATGTAAAACATCATACTAACAAAGTAACTTTTCTGTCACCTGAGAAGTTCCCTTTAAACAAAGTGTGTAATTTTATTGCTATCCTGTCTGGTTTTGTGTTTTATTTGAGATATGGTCTTGCTATATAATGCTGGTGGATCTGATATTCTATATGTACCCCAGACTGACCTCACATGCACAGCAGTTCCCCTGCCACTGTCTCTTAAATGCTGGGATTACACTAGTATGCCACCTGGCCTGGCCTCAATATCTGTTTATACTGTGACTCACTACCACTAACATGAAGGCTCTTTGAAGGCAAGATCTTTGTTCACTGAAGTTCCTAAATTTACAGTGCCAAGTCAACTATAGCTCCTAGACACCTACACCTGCTTGTTGAAAGATAAGTTTGAAAAGATTCAATAATCAGATGGAAAAGGTGAATTTTTTTTTTTTTTGTTTTTTTTAAAAAGGGTCTCCCTTTAGTCCCCGCTG